TTATTGTTATATTTTTGTGTACTATTGTGTGTGTGAAAGACAAGTAAAGATTGGTTGAACCGTTGGTTGAAGACTGACTAATCTGTACAGGATGGTGGGCCGACGGGCTTTCCTTTAAATATGGTTTGGTGTTATCCTCTACTGATCACGTGATTACTGAAGGGTATAAAGAGATGATTACTGTGCCTACGGGCAAAAAGTGACGACTCTTTTTACTGAGCCAACGGATACAAAATATAAGATACTGATACTGATACAAGACTGAAAAACACCGTAATAGCCAGGGCTTTTACTTGTTGGGTATGATTATTGAAATACATGTGTTTAATCATTGTTCTTATTGTTATTGTACGGATTTATCGTTACTGTACGGATTTACTGTTAATGCATGATTTCACTGTTATAGCATTACTGATACTGATACATGCAATGATACTACTGATTCACTGTACTGATATTATGCACGTGATATACTGAGCAAGTGACATGTGATTCACTGAACACATGATATAGATTACTGAATTTCATGGGATTCACTAAGCACGTGATATTGGATAACTGAATTGCAAGTGTACAATTTTATACGTTTCTATGACATTGATTTATTCTAACTGTTTTAAATGATGTTATGATTTTATTTCATTGATTTGATTTCAACAGTCACGAACGATAGTATTGATTTGACGTTTTATACTGACTGATATTATTGAACCAATGATTTCTCTTTATATGATTGATATAATTGACACGATGATTTATTGATTGATTTGATTGGTATTACCGATACGAATATTTCTTTAATGATTTGACTGAGATTTTAGATACGATGATTTGTCTACTGAATTAACTGATGTTATAAATACGACGACTACTGTAGAGATTTGACACACGTATTGATTCATTGAGATTTACGAACTTTTATATTGTTTATTGATTCTTCTACTAATGAATATGGATTCACATGTTTTTGTATTGACTATCGTTTCTGTATTGATTATTATTTCTGCATGATTTCTGATTCTGCATTGATTCAATGATCATGTGTAAGTGACTTCTATGATTTGACTGATTGACATGCATATTGCTTCCGTACCGTGCTTTGATTTCAATTATAGGTATTTGGTGACCTGCTGGGCTTTTTCAGCTCATTATATGTGGTTAATGATTTCAGGTCAGGGCAAGCGAGCGGGAGATTGAGGTTGATAAGGAATCTTCAGCTTTTTGTTCCTTTTTGTTATAGTTATTCTTTTGTACTCATGACTAGATGGAATCGTGATTATTGTGTAAATCCTGAGTATTGCAAATGAACTTTTGAGAATGAATAGAAATATTTCCATGATGATTTAAATTATAAAATTTTTGTTAGACTGTTTAATACTTATTGATGACTATAGATAGCTCTGCTAGTCGATGGTTTAATGGATTAAAAAAATAATTCTTCCAAGTTAAATCTTGGGACGTAACAGGTGCAAATGGACATGCAAAATCAAATACAATTATGACAGATTCATTAATAAACACAAGACTCGGCTCATTGCTAAGGGATACACTTAACAAAAGGAATATATTTTAATTGTTGAAATATATTCTCCTATTGTTAAAATGGTAACTCTTAAAATTTTACTAAACCTTACCACCAGTCATAATTGGAACCTAACCATATTTTAAAACTAACTTCTCGATTACATAAATTCATTTACGAAGTCAAACATGCCTTGCGACAATAGTAAGCAAAAGTACTCTTTTAATCTCTCGTCATGTTCATTTTTAAACAATCAAAATCAAATTATTCTTTATTTATCAAAGGAACATGTGTTAGCACTTTGTCTTTAGCTGTCCACGTGGACCAATCACTTATGACTTCCAAATTCTCAAAACAAACCACATCGGGCTTTCTCCTAAGACAACAGCACTATGCACAAACAATTCTTCAAGATGTCGGACTAGCTGATTGCAATCCTGCACCCACTCCAATCAACCCGAAGTCATCCTCCGCCTCTTCCTCTGCTCAATCTTACAAGTACCATCACCAATATCAAAAACTCGCAGGATCCTTACAATACCTATCGATCACCAGACCCGACATTGCCTTCGCTACGAACTACATCTGACAACATATGCATTATCCCACAACTTATGACTTCCAATTTTTAAAACGATTACTCCGCTACATCAAAGGAACCTCTCATTTTTGTCTTCTGCTTACTTTTGACGATCTTAAACTACGAACCTACATAGATGCCAACTAGGCTGTAGACTCCCACGACAGAAAATCTATCTCTGGTTACTACGCATTCCTAGGCAACACCCCCATCTCCTGGTCGATCAAGAAGCAGGTAACAGTTGTCAAATCCACTACAGAAGCTAAATATCGCTTGCTATCTTTAGCAACTGCATATATTCTTTCGCTCCGCAGACTTGCCGTCGAACTTCAAATTCCTCAACCTACTCCCACTGTAATCTATTGTGACAACACATTTGCTATAGCCCTCGCCAACAATCCTGTCTTCCATGCTCGCACAAAACATATTGAAATAGATTTTCACTTCATCTGCGAGCGCATGAACAAAGGAGCCATTTCAATTTTACACATTAGATCTCTTGATCAACTAGCCGACATCCCAACCAAACCTCTTAATTCCAGCAGCTTGATTCAAAGACCTCTGCTCCAAATTGACCATTCAACCTATGAATAATCAATTTGAGGGGGCCTATTAGCACTTTGTCGTTAGTCGTCCACGTGAACCAATCACTGCTCTTTATTGTATCTTGATTATGTATCTGGTGTTATATATATAGGTCTAGTCTATAATAGGAAATGTTATTAAATACATAGTCTTTATTTCGTCTGATGCTTTGTTTCTCGTTCCTGCTCTTGTCTTTTCCTTTCTCTTGCAATTCTTACAACATGTTCTAACCTCACAATATATCATTATTGCAGGACCCTCCATAGATGCAATAAATCTTACTAAGAGGTTTCTCAATTCACAATTCAACATCAAAGACCTCAATGCCCTTAAATACTTCCTTGGACTGATATTGCATAATCAAGCACAAGCATCATTCTTTCATAAAGACACTAAAGTTCATAACTTTTGGAAGATACAAGTATTCTTGCTTGCAAATAAGGAACTTCTATCTAGACGCAACAAATAAGGAATTTTTATATGATGCAACATAATATGTGTGCCTCATTGGGCAACTATTATATCTTACACTATCAAGACCAGACATCACATCATCATCTGCAAACTAAACCAATTCTAAGCATTACCATGTATACCATATCTGGCACCTGCCTACTTCCTTCTTTGCTATATGAAATCGTTGCTAGGACATGGAACTTATTTTCCCAAAACTCTCACATACAAGTAAATATTCATCTCCAGTGTTGACTGGAAAACTTACCTGGAAACCAGAAAAATAGTTAGCTAATTTTATATTTTTCGAAGAGAATCATTAGTTTCCTTGAAATTAAAAAAAAAAAACATTATTTTCCATTCTTCAACAGAAGTAGAATATCGTGCACTAGTCGCAAAAGTTAGTGAGTTAACTTGGATAACTCAACTCTTGAAACACTTTGAGATACTTATACAAACTCTAACTCATGTATATTTTGACAATCACACTACAGTTAATATAGCAACTAACCCAATCTTTCATAAACATACCAAACACACAAAATTAATTATCATTTTGTCAGAGATAAAGTCACTGACAAATCCATCAAACTCTTCATCCAATCTCTGCATCAATTAAATGACATATTCACCAAACCATTACATCAGAGCTCTCACAACACTAATATCCAAGATATTTATCAAGAACATATATAGCACATATTGAAGGGGAGTATTATGCAATACATGAGCTACATAGCATGCTACACCTCATATATTTTCTATATATGTACCTCTTATAGTTAATATTATCTTGTACGTAGCACATTTCTTGTTTTGTATTCTATATAAACCCGGTACTCATATCATCCATGTAAGAGAAACTCTTCAAATTAAAATTTCTTCCCTACCTTCCCAATCTTATCTCTCATTTGCTTGATTAAGAATGCACAAAAAATTAAAAGGATGTTAATTCATTTCTCTAATTAATGTCCTAAAATTTTTATTTACGATTCAAATGATTGATTAGAATAATATACGCTTCAATTGAGACAACTTTCTTAGTGTTTTCTAAAACAACATATTAGTACAAAAATTTTTTGAACTAAAAATTTTGCACTAAAAAGTTTCTTTGAAAGGCAGTAAAAAAACTATCCCAAATGAAACCTTAGAATCAAATCATATCACTTTTTATATTTTAGACTCGCCTCATGGAGACATCCATTGGACAATAAATTTGATAAAATCAGAATTTAAATTATCTTAAATTTAATTCATTAAATTTTCTATTTAAATAAATATCAAAATTTATACTTTATAACATAATTATCTGGTGACAAATCATCATCATTATTATTTGTGTCATAAATCCCATGTTGTGTCTTCGGGCATATGCAATCACCAGCACAATCAAAACGTTTTGGCCGGCCCACCCTAATGTAAAACACCCTAATGTAAAACCTGGTGATGTCCAATAGCATAATCCGTGGATCAAATTTGCGTTCTGTCGCTTGAACAAGGCCCAATAAAGACTTTGGGCTTCAAATCCATCAATACTAAATTCCAATTTCAGCCTTGTAATTGCGTATATCCACTACCAAAAAATCAAGCCTGTGCAGCACGAATTTTGACTTTTCCCAGCGGTTTTACCTGCCACTAAAATTTTTGCAGCGGTTTTATGACCATTGGATGTCCGCCGTAATTACAATGCGATGCAAAGACATTTAACGACAGTTTCATGACCGGCAGGATAGAACTGACGAATGTTGAATATAGCAGCGGTTTTAACTACTACACTATTTCAGAATTGAATCGGTCATAATCGCTACTATTTATAAAAAAATAAACGATCTACCATAGCGAGTGATCATTCCAAGCATGTTAGCAAGTTCAAGAAGAGTTGTATAATTCATTATTTTCCTCTGTTTTTTTTACATATATTAAGCAATTTATGGGTCAATATTCAGTGTGAACTCTTTCCAAACACAGAGTTCATCATAGATTCATAATCCCCACAGCGTATACAGCAAATTAATTTAACGGTCACTTCATTTGTATATTGATGACAGTAATCTGAATTAGACTAAATAATCATCTGCTCACTCACCTGATGATACAAATTCATTACTAATAATTAATCTCATAATTAATTCTTAAGCTGATTCCACCTCCTTGGCCGCCTTGCCATTGTTAACCACGGCCTCCAATTTCTCCTGCTCGGCATCCTCGACAAAGCGCTTCCAGAACCAGTGCTGCTTCCAGACCCTCTCCGTCATCTCCTCAATAGGAACATTCTTCGTCTCCGGCAAGAAGAAAAGTACAAAGATCGACATAATGACAACCCAGCCGGAGAAGAAGGCGAAGATGCCGTATTTCATGTGGCAGAGCATGGAAAGGAAGGCTTGTGCGATGACGAAGGTGAAGAGCAGGTTGGTGCAGACAGTCACGCTCTGTCCGGCAGATCTAGTCTCGAGCGGGAATGTCTCACTCGGTATCAGCCAGCCGAGCGGCCCCCAAGACCACGCGAAGGCGGAGACGAAGATGCAGACCATCAGAACCACCAGCACCGCCCAGCCTTTAGCGAGGCCCTCTGAGTGGTCCTTCACTTTGAACCCCAGCACCACCGAGATCACCACCTGCGAGAAGAACATCTGCACCCCCGCCTCAAGCAGCAGCGCTCGCCGCCCCACGCGATCCACCGAGTAGATCGACACCAGCGTGGACACCACGTTGACTGCTCCAGTTATCACGGCGGAGTACAATGAAGCGTCGTTTTTAAAGCCAAGGGTGTTGAACAGCACGGGCGAGTAGAACATGATGGCGTTGATGCCGGTGAACTGCTGGAATATTTGCATGACTATAGCAATTACAAGCTGTGGCCGATTGCGCCGCTTCAAGAGGTTGCGGAACGGGTGTTTCACTTGACGAGCAGCGTTGCTGGCTTGCACGATTTCTTCGAACTCGGCGTCGACGTTGTTAGTGCCGCGAATCCGGCTGAGCACGGCTCGGCCTTGCTCGAGCCGGCCGCGCTCGATGAGACTGTTAGGGGTGTCAACGACAAAGAGGGCGCCGATGGTGAGGAGGAAGGCGGGGATGCCGGCGAGAGCGAGAGATAGACGCCAACCCCATGGGTGGATCCTGCGTGAGTAAACATGAATTAATTTCAGGGATGAACGTAAAATAATTAAAATGTTAATTTTATTAAAAAAATATATTTTTAAGGTCGGCCATTGATACGTACTTGGAGGTTCCATAGTTGATGAGATTGGCAAAAAGGATGCCGATGGTGATGTTGAGCTGGAAGAGGATGTTAAGCCCACCGCGGATTCTGGTTGGTGCGATCTCTGATAAGAACAGCGGCACGGCCTGCATACAAATTAAAAAAACAATAAAGTCTATAATTAATTAAATTATTTAGTAAACGGAAAATATTTTAGAGATTTTTTTTTTGGAATAAAAATTTTACAAAAATTTTTGAAAAAAAAAACTAAAAAATTGTTTTAGCAAATAGTAATAAGAAAGCTGAGGCTTCATTTGAGATGGCTTTCTTATTGCTTCACAAAATAATTTTCTAGTACAAACTATTTGAAAAATTAATAAGAAAGTCGTCTTAAACAAAGCCTGAATTCGGTGATCTTCTGTCAACGCATGGCGCAGACCTTAGGCTTGGTCTAGTGCGGTTTTCTTACTATGTTTTAAAGCTTCTTTTTAGTAAAAAATTTTATTAAAATTAAAAATTTTTGTACTAAAAAAACTGCTTAAAGTCGTTCCAATCGAAGCACTAGTAAGTGAATAGTTGCAGTTGGTATTACTGTATTTCATTGTTATTAGACATCTCGGGCGTTGAACTGTTAGCCTCCGTGCACTAAACATTTTAATTAAAACTACGACTGAGTAATCAATGCTCGTGATGCAACGGTGATTTATAATTTGGTCCGAAGAAATATTGATTATAAAAGTTTTCAATTAATCAAATACTTTCATAGCCAACATTTGCCACAATTTTTCGAACTGAGTTAAACTTTAGCCTTAATCATATAATAATTGCAATCTCATTTGATACCTTTATCTATTAAATTTATATCAAACAAAATATTAAGCCAACTAAAACTAGAAGCTAAAATGAACCCATAATTTTATCTAATTATGTTAAAAAATAATTAAGTGCAAAATAACTTTTTTTGCACTTTTATAAGTAAAAATAGAAGGGAATTTTATATACATACCACTTTATATCATCCTATTTACATATCCAACATCTAAAACTTTAATATTATATTCATACCACTCTATATTATTTTAATATCAAATATGTCACTCATATTTCATTCATAGCACTCATATATTTCATTTCTGCCACTCATATTTGATATGAAAATGAACTAAGGGTGTTATGTATGTAATATTAAAATTTTAGGTGTTAAATATATAAATAGAGTATTATAGGGTGGTATGTATGTAAATCTCCCAAAATAGAATACTGCATATCATCCACTCATGGCCGAGAAGACTTATCACCGACTTGACCAAAGACTTTGACTTTTTATGTTCTTCTTCTTAATTCTAATGTGAAAAGGGAAAACGATATATAATGCGTCTTTGATCCACATTCATCCCATTTATAATACAATCATAACTTTTTTTTTTTAAGAGACCAACGTATTTTCCCTTAGAAAGTAGAAATGCAGCATGTGCGCAAATGGAAAAATAATATTAAGGATAATTTCATAAATTTTTTTCTGCAATTTTTATTCTTTAATAATTATTTCAAATTTTGGTAAATAATGATAACATTAACAATGATATCTCATGTTGGTTAGAGGAAGACTGACCTGATTAGCGAAGCCAACACCACAGCCAAGCAGAATGCGACCAACAATGAGCATGTCCAAATCCTGCGCTGCGCCATTAAAGATAACGCCGCCTATGAAGAAGAAACCGGCGATGAGCATAGTGATCCTCCGGCCGAGCCGGCGAGTGGTGTAGGAGGCGAAGAAGGTGGCGGTGAGGCCGGCGAGGTACAGGGAAGAGGTGAAGAGCTGCAGACCCTGATTGTCATACTTGCAGTAGTTGCTCTCTAAGCCTGTCTCGTTCTTCCTTCGGTACACTTTGGGGAAGAATTTCCTCAAGAAATCATTCATTGATGTCACACCACCTGTTCATATATATTTTTTAGTTTTATTGATCAATATATAAAGTTTTAATTTATGATTTGATATGTTTATATTATACAGAATGTATGAGTATATTTAAAATTTTTTAATTTCTTTTTAATCAAAAGAAATCTAAAATTTTTTTATTTCACTTTGAGATCAATAAAAATATAAATAATTATTATTATACTAATTTCAAAGCTGATTTTATTAATTTTTTAAAGATTGTATAAGTCTTCATACTTATTTATAATTTAATTATAATATTAGCCGGTCTCATTTTTTTCTTTTGTCTAAGATTCGAAATATTTAGTCAAAAAAAGCCTCATTTTTTTCTTTTGTCGTTTTCTGCTGCTTCAGAAATTTCCTGAAAGTAACCTATTGAAATCGACTTGTCGGCCCTAGAAAACCTTACAACAGCAATTTATCTTCCAACGTAACTATCGCCTCCACTGGCCGGAAATGTATAAGCTATTGTCCTAATCATGCGGTTGAAAATTCAGATAAAAAAGGACATTTTTTACGAATTTCATCCAATTGTACGTGTTCTTGTTGAAAAATCTCTCCAATTTAGAGAATAATAAAAAAAATAGTATTTTGATTTCAAAAGCACAAATTTTGATTAGAATCCTTCATCAGAACATAAAATTGCTCTCACAAATTTCTCCAATAAAACTCTTTCAGAAAAAGAAAAACTGACCTGAAACGCCAACATCATAACCGAACATGAGGCCGCCGGTGGCCGCCATGATGCATGATATGATGACGATGGGAGTAATCTTTGCTTCGAACTCCGTCCCCGTCGGAGCCGACACTGCGAAACCTCCCGCCGGCATCGTCGCCGGAGAAGAAGGACTGCTAACGCGAAGTGATAGGAGGCGGGAAGCTAGCTTCTAATCAATGAAGAAATGCTAGAGTAAGAGTCCAATGAGCTGAGCTTCTGAATGGAGAATCTAGTGATCCAGCTGCTCTATATATAACAGCGGCGACCAGCTATCAGATAATGCCACGTTGGATTTATTATAATCCATTATCTTAAGGCGATCGTAATGTCGGCTGGCGAGTGGCGAGTCAATCGACGGCTCTCGTTGGGTCGTATATACTCCACGAGCTCCTCGTTTTACGGGCTGGGCTTTTTGATTTTTTAAATGGACAAGTCTTTGGAGGGTTCGGTGGCAAGCGCCGCGTGAGGTGAAAATTATTTGAGTTGGAATTTAGTAGGAAATTCACTAATGTATGGGCTGTCGGATCACCGTCCATCACATGATGGACGGTGAAATCTCTTTGCAGTCTGTCGAGGCATATATGCACAACCTCTAATGCTAACGTATGCATAGGCTTGTAAGAGTCATATGAACTTGAATAAGAGTATTTTACTTTGAGATAATTTAAATTTTTAAAAATACATTAAAATTTTTGTCTTTAATATGAGAGTTTTCTTCTACACTTAGAACAGTTACACTTTGAGAATAATATAATTTTATAACCAATAAAATGATTATAAATTAGGTAATTTATGCTCGTTAATAAATATTCACAATTATTATTTTAGTCGTTATTTATATAGTCGTAAAGATAATTTATAATCGCTATAAGATATTTACAATTATTTATCATATTATTATTTATATAGTCATTGTAACTAAATTTTATAATCATATGTGACTGATCGTTGTAGAAACAATCGAGAATTGATTGCAACTTTACAATCGCAACATTCTTGGAAGAAGTTAGTGGTTAAACTATTAGATACTGATTAGTGACTAATTGTAGAAGACATTCGTTGTTTGTTGAAGTTAGTCACAACCAAAGGAGGATGGGGTTGACGTGAGAGAGAGCTGTGAATTTTGCAAAGATAATGGGAGGAAATGTGTTGTCACGAATTATTTTGATTATTTCAAGTTAAATACATACGATTGCAAGATTTATAACTTTGTCGACCAGCTACAACATTAATTATAACTTCCATCATAAATTGATGTTATAAATAGTAAAGCAATGATTAATATGAATGTCAAATCGATTAAACTATCATCGTATCAGTACTATCAAATCAATAAATCAATACGGGTGTTAAATCGATTAAACAATCGTCGTATTAGTAATATCAATCAGTAAAAAAATCATGTAAAGCGAAAAAATCAATGCATCAGTAAAGACTATCAGAATCATATCAATATAGTAAAATCCTATAATAATGTATATATGATATCAAGTTATTATATATTAGTATCAAATCGGTATCTTAATCACATGCTATGTATATCACGGGCTTAGTATATCACATGCTCAATATTAGTAAAGTGAATCAATAACATTAATTGTAATAGTGAATTAGTAGTTGTATCAAACACTATCGATGTCTATATTGGTAACAATATTAGTACAATATCCTTAGTAAAATCGATAGTAATAATAGTAAAGCAATACAATAACAATAAATATACACAGTGATAGTAAATTAATAAAGTATCATTAAAAACGTACAGTAAAAATGAAAATGTAACATGTATTTTGGTGGTTACACTTAAACAAACAAGAAATCATGGTTGTCACGGTATTTTTCAGAAGTCGATAATCAATAATCAGTAATTATTGGCTTAGTAAACGAAGTCGTCACTTTTTGCCCAATACCATATCAAAATTTGTGCAGTAAATCATACAAAATTCAATAACTTTTTTTTTTACCCAGTAAAATTTAGAAATATTACAATCAAAATCTCTAGAATAATCAGCACAATATCAAAAATTGTGATGTAAAAGTTCAATAAGATGGAAAATTTTAGTAAAACCTGTTTTGAGGGGAAGTCAATGGTCAAAATCAAAATATTTGAAAATAGAAATAGGATTAGAATCACCTACTTCGATCTGAACAATTTATGTAAAAGTGGCAAATCGATTCGAATACCAAAAATCTAGATTTCCCTTTCTCTACCTCACAACACTCCAGTTCAAACATAAATTTAATTTTTTTTTCTCATTTTAAATTATTTTTATAATTTTGAATTGTTACATCAACCCCCTTCATCCCTTCCCAAACAGAGGCTAAACTCCCATTATTGGATTTTAACTCCATTCCTTATAATGCGGTGGTGAAGGAGATGAATTATATTAGGCTTGAACAGAGACTTCAGGCTCTGCAGATTCGAGAGGGGATAGCTGGAGATTACTCTGTTGCTGTCGAAATCAACCTTATTTGCCCACACTTTTCATCAACAATATGGCAATCAATTTTGCCTAATCTTGTGACTTTCGGTGAAAGCAAGGGACCTTCTTCCTTGGGTGATTACAACATGTAGTATTCCCAAATGAAGCCTTAACTAACTCTTTTAAGAATCAAAATATCTCAAAAAGCATGATTTACTATTCCTAATAAATTTTTATTTCAATCCAACCATCTAATCTCTGAGTAATACATGGGGAGAGAGGATGTCAACACTTCACATAGAATTCAGCAACATTGTAGCAAAAGAATTGAGATCCAAATGCTTTGTAGGCTAACAAAGTCACTTTCACTATGAAAGAAAAATGCCACCTTTCTTTTTGAAAGGGAAAATGTGTCACTTTCCTTCATTATATCAGTTCACACGTGGAATGTGAACAAGAAGTAAGAAAAGAGCTTTTCCATGTGTGGGACACATAAATTGAAAAGGACTTGTCAAAAGAACACAGAGCAAATCCTTCAGATGGGATTTTTACAATAATGTTACTGATATACTACTAAAGATGAATTAAGCAGTAACAGATCTGCAGTTCAGTATTAACTTCATTGTTTTCTGAGGATTATATCCAATAGACCCCATCAAAATATGAGTAGGGTCGCTTTTTAATTATATGAAATCAATGGTTGTTTTTGAAAAATTAACAGAATATTCTGGCGCAACAACTTTGTTAGATTTGACATAAAAATAATATATATCAAATTGAGGTTGCTTATTAACAAACTAGTATATTTTTATCAGTGAAGAAAATACCTAATGTTTAAACCTAAAATGATAGCTGGGAGACAGGAGGCCAAAAGTTAAAAGAAATATTTACATATTTAATTTAAAGTTTACAGATATACCTATTTTCCTCTTTAGTGTTTATGATGATGTTATGATTTGTCACTAATCTCTCTCTCTCTCTCTCATTCATAACTCTCTATAAACATCATGCATCATGATGTGCTATCATGTGAGTTTAACTAATCAAATTTAGCTTGATTTATGTATTGCATATTTGAATGGCCCTCGTTTATGCTGAGATGATTTGACATGTACATATATGATTAAATATCAATAAGAAATGTAGAATGAAAAGACATATTAAAATATCATGATTGTTACATTTTTGTACTAAGATAGTAAAAACTATCGTAATATTTATTCAACTCTCTAACTTTTGGGAATTTGATCCATCCACCAAATTAATAAGAGTAGTAGGCTAGAACAAGGTACTCGTGCTGCGAAATTAATTTGATGCTCATAGTTGTTGAATTCCTTACCACTTTTTAACCTATTTATTCATATTATATGGTAGAAGATCAAATAATCATGCATGACATTTTTAATTATCCATATAAGTTGAAAAAATAAACTTCAACCATTGTGTACTATATGGTCAGCAAATTGCCCACAAATTCATCATAACACAGGCAAATATAGGCAAATTAGTATTCAACTTCAAAACGCAATAGCAGGACGACTAGCTCCCAATTGACAAAAATTACTCAATTGCCTATTAAAATTAAAATTGTGAAACTTTGAGTTAAATTCTTCTTTGCAAGTATTAATTCAGGGTAAAATAATTTCACTCTTATCTAGAAGATTCTTACTCAAATAATTTTAATTAAGAAAAAAGCATACCTCTACAATTAAATTCCTTTTTTTTTTGCAATACAAGAGAGTTAGATTCCATTTGAGATGCTTTTATTACTATTTCTTAAAGCATCTTTCTAATTTATACTAAAAATATATTTTAAGAAACAATAAAAAAATTATCTCAAACGGAGCCTTAAGCTTTGATTGGAATAGTTTTTTTATTGAATTTTAAAACAAAGTTTTAGTAAAACTGTTTTAAAAACATAAGAAAGTTGTCCCTAATAAAACATTAATAAGCCTCATAAAAATTGATATACTTAACAAACCAAAACCTCTAAAAAATTTTTATTAAAAATAAAATTATCAACAAACTAACTACATTGTTCATTAAACCAACCTAAATTAAGCACATTGAGAACAGTAATAATTTTTACCATCACTTCATATAGGACTGGCTTTCTTACCACTTAAAACAGTTCTAAACCCTAAAAAATCTTCATTTTTTTATTTTTAAAAAAAATTAAAAAACAATAAAAAAAAAACACCTCAAATAAAACCCTAACATTAGGTTTATCTGCAACGTTTGGTCTATCTCGATATTCTCGTTTATTGAAGATTCAACTATGGCTTTGAAAAGTTCTCGTCCTCGAATCTTCGTACAAAAATCAATCACTATAACAACAGCTTTGAAAACTATTCTTCCGATCAGCTTTAAGACTTTGAAAAGTATATGGAGGTGTGGCCACGCTATCTATTGGATAGGAACAAGCAGGACTTGCTAGCTAAGCAAAGGACAATCTTAACTTCCTTGGGTTTGAAGATTACTACGTGGTAGCACCGTCCGTGCATATCCATACAACAGCGCCGACCATTAACAAAATCAATCTTGGATATCGAAAAGGCAATTATCGTCCAATAATGAATAAAAAGAAGATGAGAGCAACAAAATAAGTAAATAATTTCATGAATGATAAGTGCTTAATCATCCTAAAATTATAAATGGAAGAGTGTTCTACAATTCAATGACAAAGGTATGTTCTCTAACCGAACCTAAAGTTATCAAGACTTAACAATATCATATCACAGAATAAGAGAAGAAGAAAGGCCATGGATAAATTCTCAGTATAGAGCAGAGCAGCCATAAGTACGAAACCAGTTACAGAGTCTGTCATTGAAACAAATTATTAATCAAAATAAGTAATGTTCAGCATCACATTCACACCTGATGCAAAAGTTGTATGAACAGACAAGGATGTAGTTGTGCTAGTAGCCACCCCTAAGAGCAAGAACGAGATGAAGTACAGAACCTCCTTCAATGTTGTATTCCTTGGCAGTCTTGTCATCAGCAAGCTGCTTGCCTGCATAGATTAACCTGCCAATCAATAAAAGGGAACGATTAGATTAACATCAAGCCTTTATCCCACAATGTGGGGTCAGCTACATGAATCCTTTTTTGCCATTGTGTCTTGTTAAAAGTCAAATTCTCATTTAAATCTAATAAAGAAAGATCATTTCTAATATTTTCTAACCAAGTCTTTTTAGGTCTACCTCTACCTTTCTTAACATAAGTCAAATCTAATACATCTACTTTCCTAACCGGGTCATCGGAAGGTCGTCGTTTTATGTGACCAAAACATCTAAGGTGACTCTCTCTAATCTTATCTTCCACTGGCGCTACTATATCCTATCTCTAAGGGTAAAGCCGCTCATCCGCTTAAGCATCCTCATCTCTGCAACACTTAACTTAGTATTATGCGTCTCTTTTAATGGCCAACATTCGGCACCATAAAGCATTGCAGGTCTCACCACCATCATATAAAATTTTTCCTTAAATTTGAGGGGGACTTTTCAAGTAGGTATGCGGTGAATCCATATATAGCAGTTGAAAGTTAAGATAGCATTGAAATTGTGAAAGCAGCTACCATAAAGCATTGCATGTTCGGCTATTAAAAAAAAAAAGATAACCTTGGTCTATCTACAAATTAGTAAAAGATATGCTTTCACAAATTTTCTAACACAACGAAATAAAAATTGACTAAAAAAATGTATGTTCTTGCATTTGCTGACGAGAGTACAAAAACAAGCTCAAGGAAACTCCAAAAGAACAACTAATACAGACAACCATGAAAAAATGGCTTACAAAAGAAATAGAACTGAGGGAAGACTAGCAGCTATTACAGAAATCAAAAGGCAATAGTCGTCTTTTATTACAAGAAAGTAGGATGGGATGTAGTCATTGCAACCGAAAGATTTTTCCTGAATGTAAAATGGGTTTTCATGTACACCTTCACAAAAATTTAAAGGTCAACGGCATGAACATATTATAGAAAAGGAAAAAAAAAAACCAAAAAAGGAGTTGCATATAGAAGTGAAGTACCTTTGCTGCACAGGTGGAATCCCTTCTTTCTCTTCAACCCTTTCCTTGATCCTGTCAATGGTATCTGTGGGCTCAATGTCAATTTCAATTTCCTTTCCAGTAAGTGTCTTCACTTTGATCATTGTTCCGCCTCTAAGCCTCAAAACCAGATGGAGGGTTGACTCCTTCTGAATGTTGTAATCCGCTAAGGTCCGACCATCTTCCAACTGCTTCCCGGCAAAAATCAATCGTTGTTGATCAGGTGGAATGCCCTCCTTGTCCTGATGCACCATAACAATGATTTGATCATTATCTAAGGCTAGATTACAATTTTTTTACAAAATGTATATGAAATTAAGACAACAGCTCAGCACATAAAACTAAGAAAAAAGCTAGAAACGGCCCACGCAAGGAAGAAAAAACAAAGAAAACTTATTAGATCAAGTATCAAATCTCTTCAACTTGAGTCTGAGAATAAAACTACCTACTCATAAATTGGTTATAGGAAAAATGAATTTTGTAATGTAGTTGCAAATTACGCACCATATAATATATCATTTTGGGCAAATAAGAACCCTTCTAAGGAAGCTAGAGAAGAAGGTAATAAAAGAATATTATAAAAAATGACAGCCCTACAAGTTAATCTCAAAGACATTATTAACATCCTCCAGAGTTCCACAATTTTGATGTGAATCAAGTCACAATTTTTGGACCGGTCAACCTGTAATCCCAATAGAGGGTTCATATTGACATCCTTGGGAGAGGTTGTAGCTTGACAAGTCACAACCAATGCCAAATCCCCTTCTTGTCACACGAGCTCAAGATGAAAGGCTAAACAAACTTGTTTAGACTTGCTAGCATGTAATGACACACCATGCTAATGACGACATAAATTATGATTTTTTCATCGTCAAACTTCATAATCATTTCTTTTTGTTTTAGAGTTAGTCAATAATTTGTTAACAATCTATTAGAATTTTTTATTCCTTCAATATCTATAAATAAATGTATTTTGAAGTGTGTAAAATTTTCTAGTATGAATAAAATTCTGATTGTAGATGCAAAGATCATTTTACTTAGCATATTCTGGATTGTGTTAAACCCTTCTGGGTGAGGTAATCTCTTTGTTCATATGTAAGGTTTGCTTATCTTCATACTTTTCTTGATGTTTCATGATATCCATCTGCTTTATTAACTATTCTAGTTTTTGTGAACTTACAGTGTTCCTATCAAGAGGTATTGGTAAGCAACAACTTCATCATCAGTTTTGGTCAACAACCGACCTATATGCACCCTTTTTGAAATAGTAAAGAGGGCTTCTCCACTTATATTCTTTGATCGACACTCACAAGCACTTTCCTTCACGTAGTGTGAGGCTTGCATAACCTTCACATATCACCAATGCACGTCTTTCTATGTGACAGAATGGGCTTAGCTCCTCTCCACTACCCTTGTTCAACATCGTAGCTCAAAATTAATGTAGAGCCACATGACTCTACTTAATATTTAAGCCCTGGGCCTTGCATTTATAGAAAGCCTCGAACTAGAAATATAAACTCCACAATAAGAGTGAAATATCTACGAAATGATTTTAATCAAAAGGGTTACCATCTACAAAACGTATGCGAAGTCCTCTGATGAAAAAAAAAAGTATGCTTTAAGGACTCCTCAAGTTGTTGATGGATAACTATAACCAAATTGGTTACCAATAGTTCAGTATTGCCATCCATCCCCAAAAGGCAAATTAATTAAATGTGCAAGACTCCATCAACCCAATGATAGGTAAGACTATCAAACATTAAACCCATCAGAGTTACTACTAGTATCGGCATTATTGCTCTCCCCTAGCTCAAATCAAACTAACATAAAAAGGAAAATTACCTATTCAAATAAAACACAGCAATTAACAAAATCAGAACTAGAGAGAATCAAGTTCCCAATATATATATATATATATATTGAAAGGCTATGTCAATTATGGGAAAATCAAGACAAATCCTAACTAAAGGTATCACGATCATTATCTCCAAGACTCTCATGAAAGACGAACAAAACAATGTTGCCATCCCAACTATCCCCTTTCAAAATGGCAAAAAATGCCTGGATAATCAAAGTCAAATCCTCAAGGCCTTTACTTTCCCAAAGATGTCTACAATAATCAAGGACCAAAATTAGAGAGACTATGATCATCATTGACACACCTTTTAATTCCAAGAATAAATCTCAAGGGGTAAGCTCTAATGCTCTCATGAATTAATTGCGACCCACCAAATGATGGGCATATTTAAAGACAAATCTCAATCAATGGGATTTCCTGCATCCAATGTCGAATCTACGCAAATTCAGGCACATCATCGAAATATTAAAAAAATTAAAAATAATTACAAATTCAGAAGGTCCTAAAAAAATAAAGTACTTTGAGGTCAAAGTACCCATCCATCTACCTTATCTTTAGTATCATATGATCACACTCAAATTTGTGCACAAATAAGGACATGGCAAGTCCTTTTAACTACTTGTTCATATATAAATCATGCTACTAAACCAACGAAAATCAGACAAATAAGAAAATCTAAATGTCCAATGATATCTAACTTTATGAATCAACGATCCATTTGATTGGGCGAGAAGCATTAAGCTAGTACAATCGACTACAAAATTAGCTCTTTTGGCAAGTTATCCACTTTCAATGAATGAGATAGCCTTACATGACCCAACACAGAGTTGCTAACAAAGATCCTAGACAAAGATTGGTTAATCAGCATCTTTTAACCATATAAACTAGCGTATAAGAAACATGATGGAATCATGCGAACTTCACCAGGTCTATTATAACTCCCACCATTATCTCCTCTAGCATATAAACAATGTTCATCTCAAAATAATCATAGAAAGTTAGACCATACAAGAAGGCATCATAATGAACCTTCATAAAGCTTAAATGTTATCCTTAATTAGAAGTTCCCTTCTATGGGTGTGAAGGATAGTTTATTATATCAGGTTTGCATTTATAGGAAGCCTTAAACAAAGAATATGAAGTCATCAAATAAGAGTGACATCTAGCGGCAATGAGTTGCTGGTTGCTTAGGTGGATTTGGAATAATTTTTTTACTTTTTTTTTTTTACAACAACTATGACACTTGTATTCAGTTATAAATTTTTTACTTAATTTTCAAACTTTGTTGTGGTCTAATAAGGGCTTCTACAACCAAGCCTCAAGGAGCACTTTTGGAGACGAGTTGTGCTCCTTGTTTTAAGAAGTATTAGAACTCTTTTGCCCCCAAATTTTCTCTAAAGATTAGATCATAATATTCTAAGGGGATTAAAAAAGGAATGTGGTCTAAAAAAAATAACAGTGTAAAAATAGTAATTTGGAGTTGTTTTGATATGTAAAGTAAATGTAGGTAAAAGTTTTTTTTTTTGTTAAGTTTGAAGTAGATGAATATACCAATATGCTGCCCCCCCCCCCCCCCCCCCCCCCCCTCCCGCCCCCCCCCCCCTCCCCCCCAGCAGTCAGCAGTTCGTGGCTGTCGTCCGAGGTGGTGGTGGCTAGCTGTTGGTGGCGATGACGACCGGTGGCGGAGGTCAAGCGAGCTTGCTTGCGATGTAAACAATCCTCGCTCAAAATTAGGCAAGTTTAATTTATCACAAAAATAAATTAAAATGGTTTACACAACATTTACTTTACTTTGCATCCCTTTTTCTTTCAACCAAACACCAATATTTTTAAAACCCCTATATTGGAATACTTTACCCCCATTTTATTTCCAACCAAACAGCCCCTAAACAATTCCCTAACAAAATTGTGTTCAACAATCCTCCATCACGATTCCTCATATGACAACATCCTTTGACTCTCGTAACTCACAAACTAAATTTGAAGCGAATGAAAGTAGCACTTTATCATACAAATCACTTATCACACTCAGATGACTATTCAATCCTCTTGCAATAGAAGTCCCATCACAAATCCTAAGGATAAATTTTCACTCATATTATTGTTGATTCTGAAAAGAGTTATCTTTTCTAATTATTTTTGTGGGTATTCGAAAGAGATATACAAAAGGAAGTTAAACGAAGAATGTTTTTTTATCTTGTTTTGTTTTATATATTATTAGTATAAAAAATATTTTATTATTATTAGAATTCAAATTGGATGGTTGAAGTGGAGGAATGCATCGGGCTTATTGTGTGATAGACAAATACCCCTTAAACTTAAGGAAAAATTCTATAAGATGGTCGCGAGACCCTTTTTTTAAATCAAAAGAAAAATCCATTAGATAATATGATCGATACAACACAAGGCCAAAAGATCGCCACAAAAAGCAAGAATATAGTCAGAGAAATACAATACACGTTATGGCCCAACAACCTATACGAAATGAAGAAAAATACAACCCTAGAATCAATTGGACTTAGACCGGCGCCTAGTTGTCAAGCTTGGGCCATCCAAAGAGGAAAAGATGATAAAAGCTGATAATCCAAATGCAACATGCCCTAAAAAATCAGAACCCACCAAAACAGATAGAGAAATAACCACCTAGGTTGCCAACCAAGCCATGGCCGACTGAGGTGCGACCAAGAAACCTGCTTCATTATTGTCCTGACTCGAATCCATCGCATCAATTAAAAACAATACCATAAGAAACCAAAATAACTACAACCAATAAACTTCCAAAAAGAAAAATCATTTCTTTTTGGGTTTATGTTTTCTATTCTTAACACTATTTTTGAAAAAACTAACATCTGCAATTTGAAGAAGACTTAAATCAAAGTTGTCCCTAACATCCAATTCTTTCTCATTCATTTCCTTCCCTCCTGCTAAAGAATTGTCATCGTTTAGCCAATCTCCTTGCCGCACTACTTCATCCCTAGCAAGGTGAGCTAACTCAACACTGGAGATATCAACCAGAGGCACCACAACTTCTTCATTATCCTGATCAAAAGCCACATCATCCAAAGTACCCAGGTCAACCGAGTCACCACCCCCTCCAGAAGCTAAAGAAGCCTCACTCGACAGCTCCACAGCATCAGCATAAGTAGGGCTAGCTCTAAAGTTAATGTAACATTTATTGGCATTCATAGAACCATCAACTAAGTTAGTGCAAGGAATAGCTAAAGGCGCCACATCCTCCCCAACATAAACAGGATCATTCAAGGGTAAGACAAAAGCCAACGAACTACCAATTACCACTGAAAGACCAACATCATTTCCGACAACAACATCAGTGATTCAGTAGGACTCAAATTCAGAGCCAAATCCTAGTCAACACAAGAAACA